CCGCGAATGCTGGATACAAACAGCCCACTGCCACAGCGCTTATTGTTCCCAGAATCAGGTAGCACCACTCTGGTTTGGCAAGCTGCAGGATCCGGGAAAAAGTGCGGAAGAAGTTCGGTTTCTCGGGCGGCGCCTCAGCTATCTGGGCATTGGTATCCTTGATGAGTGCCTTACTAATAGGTTCCTCAAACTGGACACTGTTCTTTTGGCCTTTCTCGAAGTTTAAGGGACTCGTCTCAAAGGATTTCTCAAACAGAGCCAGGCTCTTTCCTAGAAAGTATTTAAAATGTAATTCGTCTTTGTTACTTGTTCAAGAGTAATTACTTTTGGTGTCCTCAATGCTTTCCTCTTTTTCCACCTCATCGGGCATGTTGATATCGCCAGCACGAACCATGTTGTAGTAGGCACCTTCCAGCGTCATTAAATCATCATGGGAACCCTCCTCCAAAACCTTACCATCATGAATAAAGACTATCTTATCTGCACCCCGAATAGCTGACAATCGGTGAGAGACCACGATGGTTGTACGACCTTTGCTGGCCAAGTCCAAGGCCTGTTGAACCTGTTTCTCAGATTGGTAATCCAGAGCAGAAGTGGCTTCATCCAGCAGCAGGATCTTGGGATTCTGAATGAGGGCTCGAGCGATGGCTATGCGTTGTTTCTGACCTCCAGAGAGCTGGGAGCCTCGCTCTCCAATCATACTGCGATAGCTCTATAGATTTAAGACGGAAATTTTCTTATTTTGGTTATAGATCTTTCAAATGTTGTATCTAACCTCTGGAAGGTTGGTAATGAATTCATGGGCTCCCGCCTGAGTGGCAGCTGATTCGATCTCTTTTTGGGTGGCTCCTGGCTTACCATAGCTAATGTTTTGTGCTGTCAAAAAGGAATAATATTATAAGGTTTATATTTTTTACGGGTATAAAAATAGTTTTGCCACGCCTACAAAGCGCCTAAGCTGTATATCTTAACTTATCTTAATCGGATTTTGAAGTGGCATCCATCTAAATGTTTCTGGCGCAATTCTCTAAAAATCTGCATTCAAATTTAGAAATTCATTTTTTTTCTAATTTTTTTTAAATTTTTCTGATGTATGATGTGCTGACATTCAAAGAAATTAAGAAATGTCCTAAGGCAGAATTTCTAAATTCCATAACTCAACTTACTTTAATCGGATTTTGAAGTGGCATACCTCTAAATGTTTCTGGAGCAATTCTCTACAAATCTGCATTCAAATTTAGAAATTTTTTTTTTTTTCAATTTTTTTGTAATTTTTCTGATGTATGATGTGCTGACATTAAAAAAAATTAAGAAATGTCCTAAGGCTGAAGTTCTTAGCTCCATAACTCAACTTATCTTAATCGGATTTTGAAGTGGCATACCCCTAAATGTTTCTGGTGCAATTCTCTACAAATCTGAATTTGAATTTAGAAAAATTTACTTTATTTTAATTTTTTTGTAAGACTCAGGAATGTTTTTGTAGTATTTTATTTTGTTTTTGTTTTGTATGTACGTACCTATTGTGCCCAAAAATAGCACTGGTTCCTGACCCACAACAGCAATATTCGATCTTAACCATTGGATATTGTACCTTCTAATGTCCAAATCATCCAATAGCACTGATCCAAAGACAGGATCGTAGAACCTCTGAAGCAATTGGACACAAGTGGACTTTCCACAGCCAGAAGAACCAACCAAGGCCACTGTTTGACCAGCTCTAATCCTAATGTTTAGTCCCCTATGCACAATCACCTCCGGACGAGACGGATATCGGAAGAAGACATCCTGGAACTCCACATCACCGCGAAGGCCGTAGTTCAAGAGTTTGCCGTCTGTAGAAAGAGGATCGATTTTTGATGGCAGATCGATGACTTTGAAAAGGTTGGTGGCACAGCCGCGGGCAGTGGCAAACGATTCCAGGAAAGGAGCTGTTCTGGCTATGTTGTCCGCACCCACAATGATACCAAAGAAGGCCTGGAAATATTGGCATTTAGGAACCATAATATATGTGCACTTATAAGGCTTACAATCATCAGAATAGCTGGTGTATACTCCTTGTTTTCCACATTCCGATCATCGATGATGAGATTGACACCATACCAAAAGGCTCCGGCGCAGGACAGATACAACATGGATTTCAAAACAGCATCACTGACCCCCGAGAAGGCTCCCTTCCATTGACTTGCCTTTCGAGCTGGGACCAAGAAATTCTCATAGCGCTGCACCTCCGATTTTTCTCCACCAAACGAGACCACAGTGCGTATGGAACTCAGAATTTCCTCTGCCAAGTTGCCAGCTCCCGCATAGGATTCCTGTTCTCGGGCAGTCAGCTTGCCTTGGAACTGAAATATAAGGTAACTCTATTTATACACTAAGAAAATACTGCCAACCACCATAATGGCTTTAGGATAAGCTGTAAGCTGAACATGATTAATACGGCCTATAAGGACTCATTTCCGTTTTTTACCTTGGCTACGTAGTAATTTACTAAGATCACCAGAGGTATGTAAGAGCTCACAGCTAAGGTGAGTTTCCAGCCGTAGCTAAATGAAATGGCCACAGTTATGATAAATCCGACCACAAGGTAAACAAAGTGACCAACTTTCTCTGAGATGCCATCGCGAATCTTTTCCACATCGCTGAAAAGAAAATTCAGATAGTAACTTCTTCATAACCCTTTTAGATACATACTCCACCATACTCTGGGTGAAGTTTTGCTTGCTGGCCAGATCATGCCAACCGATGTCCTGGCGAATCACAGATGAAAACAGCTTTATCCGCATCCTAGTGACCTGACGCAGAGCCACCATATTAAAGACATCCACGGAGAAAATGCCTGAGATGAACATCACCACGGAAGCGATGGACAAGAGAATGCCATACGATATGGAATCATCGTATAAGGCCGCGTCGTTTTCCTCCCGAGAGGCATTCGTACTGGAAGTTTATTGAATAAGCGAATAATGATGATTATAAATAACATAATTTAATAACCCCATCTTTATTAAATTATATATACATATATGCTTTGGCGATTGGTCGATTGGTCGATAAACTTAAAACCCACCCTGCGTATGAGTGATAAATAATAAATATATGAACCGATCTTCCTGTATTTTCGCGAATTTAAGTTTTTTTTAAATGTCCTACATTTTTGCCTGATGACTTTCTGTAGCTTAAGTACCATATTTACCATGTTGAGCACTTACAGTGTTTTACCACCTCCGAAGAGTGGAAGCGCATGGACATTTGAGCTGGTGCCAAACTGCATGGCACGGTCCACCAACATGGACGTGAACTCACTGTAGATGATGACCACGGCAGGAAGGGTCAGCGCCTTGATGCAGCACATTATGAACCCAAAGAACAGCCAGCCGATCTCGCCGTAGGTGGAGAATCGGAACAGTTTCAGGAAAGCAATGGGCTCAGTGGGCTCCAAGCCCTGCGCCGTGGGCACCTCCTCCTGGGATTTTCCCTCGCTGGTCGAGGAGGACGCCTCTTCTCGCTCCATGGTGATGGTAAGTCGGCACTGACGAAATAACAATTAAATGGGCTTTACTACACAATACGACATCGATCCGTGGTCAAGATTTGCTCACTTAAAGCGGACACAAGTTCGAACCAGACCAGGCAAAAGGTTAATTCAATTAAGTAACACTTTGCGTCCGCATGCAACTTTGTTTCTTTGGCCACATAGTTGTGATTGACCCGCGAGGTTAACGAGTAATAGAATATATATATTGTACACATTCCTTTGCAAATTGAAGCGCAACTATTTGGGTTCTCCTCTGCACTTTGAAATCAGTTCCATTCACTGGGTATTCTCATCGGAATATTCACCTTTTAATTGCCACTTTTCGACAGATCCTTCAATTATTCGCACTTCTTCCAGATCGAAGATGAATCTTGTCCGCAGATTCCAACCGCTTGAGCGTCCAAGCGCGACTGACTTTCCATCTTTCATGAGCATCCATTTAAATTTGCTGCGTACATATATCGCACCGTTGGGGTTCAAATTCTAATTGATCTTTCTCTTGGGGTAGGTTCGAAGAGTCTTGATTGATCGAGGGAAGAGTGTCAGTGGTGGGAAATGTCGTGAAGCACTCCCTAGTGTCTCTTATATAAACAAAAAGATAGTTAAAAGTGTGCTTTGTTAAGTGATGGATTTTATTTCAAAATATAACTACAAGAAGTTGTTTCTTCATCTGTACAAAGGACACATTTGCATACATTTTCTACATTCACATACAGCGGATTATAATTACAGAATATTAGCTTAGGCACATAGTTATCTGTACTTGTAAAGATACAAAATCTAGCTGGATAACAATCGCATATCACATACCAAAGGCATTAGAATAGCAAGATGCGTAACGCCTTATGATTTTTTCTCTCGAATTTTTGTTCAAAAGCCAGAGAGACCCTAATTTTGCATAAACATTATAATTATTTGAATACATCATAGAAATAGTAAAAGATGAATAAATGAACATAATAATACATAATCAATTTCAATTTCGTGCCTCAAGGAATATTTTTTTAAATAAACAGGCTGCATATTTGTATGTATTTTATAAATATTCATTTTTAAATATGAATTATTTCTAAAAAATTTATTTTATTTTTTTGAAAAATGTGTATATTAAATTATGTATGTATTTGTTGCTTTATGCATAAAATTGATATTTTAAACAAACTTAAAGTAGTTTTACCTCTTAAGCATTGCATCTTAACTGTGGTAGCTGATAGACAAAAAAGCAAGGTAAACTCGGTTTTCCATCTCATAAATGAATAAGTTGATATATAAAAAAATAAAAAAATATCTGCATACATTTTTAAATAATATTATAACGAAATTGACAAAACCATTAATCAAATTCGTTTCCTAGATCAAAAATGACTTCGGCCCGAAAATACACATTTTCACAAGCAAGTGAATTTCATTTTTAAATTTTTGCCCCACCAAAAAAGTGGCGGCAAAAGTGTAAAACCAATGTATGGCCATTACGCATCTTGTTATTCTAAGTCTTACCACATACTGTGTTGGTTTACAAGTATTTACATTGCCGACACGAGATAGAGATTCATTAAAAAGTTATGGAAAGATTCAAACGCTTAGCTAATATGGCAAGTGCCAAAACAGTAAGTCAATTTCCTATAAAATAATATATTATATACAATGCTCTTTACAGTTCCACCCTGTTGGTAATATTCGCTCACTATTTACTAGAATTTTGTTGAGCTGGTCTTAAAAGTAAAAGGTATACGTTTAAGATATGGGAATGGTAAAATTTTTCATTTTAGCAACTCCAAACATGGCATAAGACTATATAAACTGCTGCTTGATTTGCTAAAGGAAAAGTGATTACTGGACTTCGAGGACAAAATCCTTGCAATAATCTTACCTTTTCACGCTACTAATAATATCATTTTTAGTGGTTCTGGGTGGCACAATGCCAATTGCTTCTTAAACAAAATTACGTGGCTCGAATTCCGATCAAGTCTAAACTAATTTAATCCGACTGATAATAAGGTCAGACGTACACCTCGCCGGTCTTTTGTTCCGGCTTGTGTTTGGCCAGAGTTGAGGGTGCCGAGGATCCACCGGCTGCGCCCGTTTCCAGGCCACCACTCCTATGAGGCATTGGCATCGTGCCTGAGGTGTCCACTGTGTCCGTGGGACCCGCTGATCTCATCGAGGATCGTTGCTGCGGATCCTGCAGATTGAGGCTCAGGTTGAAACTGTTGTTTCGCGAAATGTTCTGGTTCCCATTGAGGGGCTTGACGGACAGCAGGGCCGTGGTTGTGATACCACCATTGCCATTGCTTGACCCACTATTGCTGTATCCATCCTGGACATCTGCACCGGTCAGCTCCACAATGGAAAGCGCCGATGGGGATCGCTGGATGGACAGGGACACCGGTATCGTGGTGATCACATCGTTAGGATCGTATCCACTTGCCGTCGTCGTGATCGTGGGCAGCTGGGCGTTGGCCGAAATGGGCAGGATGCTCAGTGTCCCAGTGGGCATCGTTTCCCCACCTGTGCTGGTCACGCTGAAGGGGAACGACAGTGTGGTGATGTTCGTGGCAGCGGGCATAGCTGCAAGTTGTCGAAGGGCACAGGAATTAAGAAGTGGAAATACATATTTAATCCATCAAGCTTTTAATAACCTCTCAAGGGCTTGTAGGAGTAAGTCAACTTAATAGTTGCGAAAGCAAATCAAAATTGATTACATTAACATTTCAGAGGTATTTGAAGCTATTTAGATCTGGACACTTTCACTTACTGCTCGGCGTGTAGCCCTCCTTCATGCTGGCTGCCAGAGCTGCGGTGGCCGGATGCCCTGGAATCAGAGTGTTATTGGACGATGAGCTATCCATCTCTTTGATGGGCGAGAGCAGCAGCGTGCCCAGCACCTGGCCGCTCTCCTGGTGCAGAAGGGTTTCGGGTGCGTAGGAGGAGGGGTACATGCCCGGTGGTGCGCTGGTGGTGCTCAGCTGCTGTGGTGCCATTAGGACCGAGCTGGTGGCTACACGGGAGCGGTGCGAGTTGTTCAAAAAGTTGCAGGTTTTGTGCGGGACTTGTGGCTTGTCACTCACCTGGATTCGTGTTGCCATCCTTGGCCACCTCGGGTGTGGGAATCCGCGGCCTGGTCTTGGCCACATTCACATTCAAGCCATTCAGTTTGGAGTCTAGAAAATAAGAATAGTTAAAAACGTAAGGCATACTTTTGGGGGCTTCAAGAAATTGTCCTACATTAACTTATATTTATTTACTCACTCTGCTTGATAAGTTGGCGTTGTGCTCTGAGCGATTTGCGATGCACAAACTTGCCATAGAGACTCGATTTACTTGGCTGCGATCCGGCCTGCTGATGCTGATGCGCCTGCTGCAGTTGCTGCTGCTGCAGGATGGTCAGTGGCAAGCCGGACTCGGGACTAGAGTAAACGGAGTTGAGGCGGTTCCGGTTGAAGGGCATTCCGCCGGAGGAGTAGGCCGTTGACTGGCTTCTCATGGAGCCCATTCGAGAGAGCTGACGAACCAGCCAGTTGTTCTTCCTCCTTTCCACCATGGGGGTGTCCACGCTTTCCTGTTTGCGTCAAGAGATTGTATCAATGTGTGATTCTGGGCATGAAAAAGTCACCTTAACAAATATATGGCTGCATAAATATGACAAAACCCTACGCCTGAGAAATATTATATTGACTTTTAAGTTGAAGTTAATAACCATAAAAAGTTATGCTTACTGGAAATATAACTCACAAAACGCAACTAGTGTCAACGTTACAGCATTCAAATGACAATTAATATAGCTATGTGATAACTTATTTACTTTATTCACTTTATTCACTTTATTCATTTTCCGTGACCAGATACTCACATAGTCCGCGTAGACATCGTCGCTGAGCATCCTCTTGCCACCGCCTGGCATTATGTTGGCGTACATGGCGTCCTCCTTCTTGACCTTGTACTTCTCGGCGGAGCCCTTGGGCTCGTCCTTCCGGTAGTGCTCGGATGCCACCGTGTAGGGCAGATCCTTGGGCACCACGCACTCCCAGTACTGATCCCGCAGCAACTCGGGGTGCTCCTCGTGCATCTCGTCCACGATCATGTAGGCAGCCTGAAAGCGAGTTTATCAAAAGTGGATCAGTCGAGGGCTGTTCAAAATCGAAACGTGTTCGCCATTTGCGATTTTTGGCCCATTTCGAGGAGGCACTAAACCCAGTTACGTCACAATAATTCAACCGTGGCTGCTGTCCCACATCGAAACAAAAGAAAAAGTGAAATTGTTTACAAGTTTTTAATTATTCCATAGCAAAAAACAGCGCACAGCGCACAGCCCACTACAGAAAATGGCAAATGGCAAAAGGAAAAGAAATAATAATAAAAGTATGAAAAATACCCATTTGCTTAATCATTTTGCCGCGCTCTGTTTTCAATTTGCCATTTATGAGCGACTGAGCCAAGAGTCACGTCTGGTCGTGTGGAGTGCAGTTGAAATGGACCACAAAACCTGGCTGAGGTGTTGGCATTAGCCCCTGCTGATAACCGGGCTAAAAGCGACCGCTTGAGATGCATTTCCGAAATTGAGCAAGCCCAGCGCTGGGGTGACCATAAAAACACACACATCACAACATTCAATGATAAAGCTGTACAAAAGAGGTTTCAATGTTTTTCAGCTCGTATGTTTTTTTTTTCTCGATTTTCTCATTTTTTGAACAAAAACCTGTTTTCAATTTACTTTTGCTGCTGCTGCTGTTAACTTTTGTAAATAATTGCAAGCAACGGCAGGCCCCAAACACAGATACAAACACACACACGCACAGCACACATGCAAAAATCGCTTCTAACACACACTAAGATCGAGTTCCCAAAGCCCAAGTCCAAAACTTCAATCAGCATCAGTAACGGAAGGAAAGTCGAATAGGGATACCCTCATCTACATCGAAATCGGAAGCTGACTTTGGCGGGCAACTCTGAATTTCACTATAAATACTTGAAATTTTTTGTAAACTGACGCTTTGCTAAGTCGCATTTATATAATATTTTAATAAAAACTATAGGCACAGCTTCAAGAAAAATGTATCTAATTATACAAAATGCAAGTTCATAAATAAAGATTTATTGAGTGCGACTTGCAGTCACATGTAAATTTGTAAGCCATACTTATAGAAAGCTAACTTATAACACTCCGACTTTTCATAGCGAGCACCTATTGTTTTTAGATTATAATTTTTAGGTATATAATTGTGTATTTGTCATATTACATGATTTCCAAGGGTGCTCTGCAGTTCGTTATGTTCAAAATTGCATATGGCTCCTGAGTCTTTTGTTGGCTATGTGGAGAATGCCTGTTATTTTTAGCACGTGGCAGACAGAAATGTTCTTTTTATGTTTTTTCAGTGGCAATCCAAGAAGTGGCTGACTCGAGCGATTATCGCCTCAAGAGTGCAAAATCTTTACTTGGCTAGCACGCTAACCCAATTAGCGAATTCAGATTTTAGCAGTCATAATACTTGGAAACCTACGAAATTGTGATTATGAGCAGATACGTATAAGTATCTTGCGGATGTGAGTATCCCAAGGTTTGACTTAAAAGCAGAAAAATGAACTTTGGAAGTGGGTATTTCGATGCAAAACCCATCTGTTCCGATTTTTGTTACTAATTTAATTTAAAAACTCGTGAATATATCTACGCTTTGCTAAATGAACTTAATTGGAAGTCATACAGGTTATTTGTGTGAAATTCAAAGGGGGATCTTTTTCGCGTCTCTAACGAAAAATGATTGTTTTATGGTTGCATCGACCACAGGAATTATGGCCACCGCTTATTAAAAATGTTTAACGCATGGCTGACGTATGGACAATGTGCTAAACCAAATTAGACAGTGCGAATTATCTGCACAGGTGACTCACCTTGATGTGTCGGTCAATTAGCCAGTTGAGCTCGATATCATCGTCATCTTCGCCAAAGGGATTGATTAGCACCTCGGCCACTTTCAGCCAGCCCACGTAGAAAACGAACTGCAAAGATTAATTGAAAGCGATTGGATCTTCGTTAATTACATCATGAAAGCCAAGTTGTACACTTTCAGCAGAACTTGGGAATAATTTTGGGGATACGCCAGGGAAAGCTTGGCAATTCCATTCACTTTTTGCGGCTTCAAATATACAGCATGCACATTAACAGTTAATAATGATAGCTAAACACTTGTCACAGATTTATATCGCGGGTAAACACAAACACAAGCCAGACCAGAGCTCGGCAAAATGCCAATTTATTACGGGGAACGTGACCGCGAATCGTTTACATAAGGCACTTGAAATCTGTACCCAGCGCAGAACCGCAGAAACCAAAACGGAAAACAGCAAACAGTTGTAACTGGCCATATCATGATATAGCCCAATATATAGAGCATCCGAGCGGCGTATCGCTAACAAGGTATAGCCATTACATTCGGCCACTCAGTTTGGCAAAAAAAAACAAAAACAATTGCGAATAACAAAAAACCGCAACAAGTTTTTAAACTTTTACAAAACGACGAGACGTGCAAAATTGACTTTGATTTATAGTAAATAAGGCGGAACGTGCAAATTAATATAACTTCTAAGCCGTCTTAAATCAAGCGAGTCAAAATAATGATTTCATTAAATACGGTGCAATTGGAATCACCTGCAATACGGTGAACAGTGGGAAGAACAGATCGGGATCTTCGCGTCCATTTCTGTCCAAGACGTTGGGCAACATTTGACGGCCCAAGAGGGCAGCTATGAAATAGGTGTACAGCACCAGGGTGACCACCTGGAAATGGAAATGGAAATTCGATGATTTAAATTGTAGTACATTTGAGCCTAATATCTTTTACAGAGGGTTGGAATATGTTAGTAATATTTAGAACAACTCACCTGAGTGTAGACCAAAGGAACACAGACCGTGTCGTAGCCAATAAGACCACCTAAACGTCTACGAATATCCGAGAGCTCCACCAAAATGGTTTGTACAATGTGATCCGAGGCGATTAGGCCATCCTTTCTGGCCCGATTTATGATGTTGGTGGCCCAGACCAGCGGCATCCAGTACTTGGACATGGGACTCTTCTGGTTCAGCGCCTCGAAGATTTTCATCTCGGACTCGTGCATCAGACCCGCATCCACGAGATGTTGGGTGGTGGGAAAGCGGCGTTTCACGCGCAGGGAAATTCGCTGAAGGGTGATCACATAGGCCAAAACCATGTAGCGCATGATATTACGACGCATCAGGCGGCCCGTTTCATTCTGTATATTTGGGTATTGAACATGGTTACAACGGACTTATCTTGGCTTAAACGTTTAAGAGCGTATTCTTACATTCACACCGCCATTTGAGTTGGGAATGGCCGCGCTTATGAACAGGGCCAACGTATCTGGCCAGGGCAACAGCCTATATTGCTCCCACCATCGCTTCACCACCAGATTTACATAGAAGCCCAGCACAAAGGACATGGGTATACTCTCACTCTGCTGCCCAAAATAGAGGCGAATTTTCTTAAAAATGCTGCAAAAGAATTCAAAATATAATTAATGCAGCCCGATTGGATTACTTTAATACTTACGCTTGCTGACTTTCGGTCAGACCAAATCTGTAGATAACATTTATGGTATAGTATAAACACAGATACGCAACTAACTCGCGCCAGATCAATTTGTAAACGCTGCCTCGCCATCTATTAAAAGGGGAAGGGATTTGAATTAAGTAACTTGCAGGTAGTCGAGGAATTTATGGCTTTGAACTGTAACTAACTGGTTATTGTTTTGATACAAATGATTTCCTCATTCAGACTTTAAAACCCCCTACATCTCCCCCTACTTGGATATGTTTGATCATCGCATTTCTGATTGAGTTTTCGCTTCCAATGGATAGCCAGTTCTACAAAAGTATTTTATGGGGATAATCCAATCTTGCATGTCAGTTCCAATGAATTCAAATGTCTCATAGTGTGATATGATACATTATAAAAAATACATATGTATATTGATTGGCATAACCGCTACGAAACTGGTACTATTCAGGTGGGGTCTTTGTTCTGTTTGTTTTGATCAAGGTTTCGTTTACCTGCTTCTCTTCAAAATTTAGTTTTGGGGCATGGCGCTTACCTCTTGTTCAATATTATAAGCTGAAAGTAACTTTAACGCGAGGCTCCCAGCAATAAGTTTAAAGCAATTTATACATTTTTCCTGTCATAGAAGTATTTTTTCAATTAGTAAATTCATTACTGAACGTGTGATAAGCCATTGAGCTTGCAGAGCTTCGGTGTTTGGGCTACCAATTTTACTTCTTTCTGGTTTGAATGGCAAAAACTGGAACTGTGCAACAGTAACTGGAACTGGTATTGCTATTCTAACTGCCCAGTTACGAGTGACTGCACTTGGGAAGCGATTAAAGCGAACTGGGGTTAAAAATAAACACACTCTAAAAACAAAATAACCTGAAACCAGATGTTGCCGGCGGGGAGATCTCAGTGTACGAGTATGGTGGCTGAATAGAGGAGTTCAGGGTATTGGTTGTTAATTGCGTTGGTAAACACTCGAACAGGTGAGTGAGTAATGCGCAAAAATCCCCGGAATCGGTACCTTTCCGGTGGTGACCCAGATTGGCTAGACTGTGTAGGAAACATTAGTTTACGCTCCAATTTCCTAATTATTTGCATAAATATTTGAGTATCTTACAAGTGTTTTTGATTCGGGCTAGATTTACGCAGTTCAGAGATGCAAAACATTATATTTTTTCCTCATCCCTTGGCTACTGTATTCTCTAGTTTTGGTTATATATATATTTGGCTAATACTCACTTCCACAGGATTTTCCAGAAACAGCCAAAACTGCTCCCATTTGGCACTTCTCCCGCATATGAAACAGTCATTGTTCCTCCGCTTGACTTAGTTTTTTTAGTTGATCTTGTTTTGTTTACTTAATCACAAACAATTGGCTTTTGCTGTTATTGTTATTTTTGCCGGCGCTAGGCCGCTGCCAATACGGAGAAGGCCGAATTGTAGTTGTTGTTTGTTGATTTGTTGCGCGAATTTTGTTGATTGTTTTTGTTGTCGCGTCATTGAAAATATCGTCGCCGTCGGCAGCTTTCCCTCTCTCTCACACCCGCGCCGCTGCGACACTCGCTCTTTCCCGCTCTTCACGAGCCTTGTTTTTTAAGCTTCTCCTAAAATATAAAAACTCAAAAATGTAGACTTACTACTTATAAGTTATAAGCCCATCAGCTTAAGTGCAGTTACTTGAATAATATGTGGATAGTTTAGCATTGCTTATGGATAATTCAATAAGCTGTATAAAAAATGCACTTTATTAGGGCTTTACTGTATCGCAAACAATAGGGGGACAGGTGAGCGCTCCCATGCGCCCAGTAAAACCGTAAAGGTAAAACACATGCAATCCATGCAAATAAAATTGGAGGGCTGAAAAGCTCAACTTAAATTCCGGCACGTATCGAACATTTTTTCTGTGGTGTTTCTGTTGTTGCTGCTGTTTTCCAATTTGTTGTTTTGAATTTATTGTAAATTTAATTGGCTGTGCACTTTCAGTTCGGGTGAAATGCGTTGTCTAAAGTTGAGAACAGAGTTATGGTCATATTCGAATTGTTCATATACATTTACAGACATTTTTTGCATCACTTCACTTTACTACAATCACCTTGTAAACACAATTATTATGGATTCCCTTTTGGACCTTTTAATTTTTTGGCTAACCACTTGAAGATCATTGTGCGGCCAGGATTTCCCCAAAACTGTGGACCCTCCTCAATGGCAAGGTACATATATGTGCAAAACTTGAAGTCGGGATTTTTGCCTCTAGATTTTTTGTGTTGTTTTCATGAGAAAACCTTGGGTTGGGCACAAATTCGGCATTTTCTGTGAACCTTTTTTGCGGGTGCTTAAATTGCGCCGTCAGCGCCACGAGTCTTTATCGTTTCCCGTTTTCTGTTGATTCGAGACTTGATTAATTCCGCTTATGCTGCGTATCTCCAACGCGATTTTGATTAATCGAACGCTGGGCTATCACAGATTTTTGAAAGAGTGTTTTCGACTTGGGCCTGGACTCGCACAGTTTTAAAACCTGTTGTATTTGCTCCTTAGCGCTAGTCGAAGCTGCACATATTTGCACAAGCCACATCCAGAAGGGGCAACCAAACGGGTTCTATAGGGGCGATGGCCAGGGTCGGGGGATTCCGACAATTTTCACTTTAGCGCGCTAATTTCGTTTACAAACATAGCAGGTGATCTTCAGGAATGTGGGACCTAACCGGTTGTGCACAGGGGTCTAGGCCACGTTAAGTCACGATGGCTTTTGATTACACGGCTAGAGAAACCACCCACCACAGGCGCTGGGCTGGCCAAGAACTTTCTGATTGTTTAGTTGCTTCAAAACAATTAAAGATAGTCGTGAGTCGTAAATAAGTTACTTGTGCTGGCTGACGGCTGAAAGTTTCGCAATCTACATGTTCTTTGGGCACAAATAGTAGTCATTGACCCTGCCCGGAGATTTAATCTCATCTGTCCACTTCTGTGGTAATTTATTTTCAGAACAAACAGCCTGTCAGGCCGAACTGGATATCTTGTATCATCTGCAGCTTTTAGATAAAGCCCAATGCGTATACGCGATATTAAGTAGCCGACGTAATGGGCCGACATTGATTGGTGACGTATTCGGCTTGTATAAATTTCACTTTCTTTTGAATTATTTGGCCCACAATCTGTTTACCAAATGAGTCAAGGCAGTGGCTCTTCAATTCGACTGCCACTTGCACTTTTTCCGCCGGCACTTGTGCATTCCCAGAATTAACCACATGAAAGGTGGGAGTTTTCGGGCCTAATTAGCACACAATAAAGCAGATATATCTAGGCATTAAGCCGATATCTGTTAGCATTGTTAGCATTCTTCATAAACCAATTAGGTAATATTGAAGCGATTTAAACAGCACTTTTGAGAAAAAATTAACGTGTTTGTTAAGGTATTGAAAAGTTTATCACTATTGATCTTTATGGCCGAGGGCTTTGTATATATAAAGCTGTTCATTCATTTACATTGATTTATTGCTGGTACTCATATGATCGCTTCAAGCTTTTTATTTATTCGCTAATATATCAAATATTTCATTTATCGCTCCTGTGTGCGGATTATACAACTAAGCACCTCGTCAATTACTTCATTACTCCGCTATTTATAGTGTTTTCTGCTTATACACGTATACATCCCTCTAATAGCTCTTCACTCATTAAGCTTGTTCAATTGAAAAATTGCATCCGAATTTGGCTTGGTCGCCCATATATTCAATAGAATGCCGACTGAACACCCAAGCGGTTGGGGCGCAAAAAACATAAATAAAAGTAAACTTGACCAGTTGGGAGCTGGCAGCTTAGTTTACTGTGCCGCCTAGGCCATTTAAAACTGGAGACACGCGCTGGCGTGCGACGCGCTTACGATTTCAGATACACAGATACAGATACGGATGCTCGGGCCGTCGGAGCCGTGTGTCTAATGGAGCCAGCTGGTCACCCAGCTCATGTGAGTATGGGTATCCCTTCGATATTGCTACACTTTACACACTTGGATTGAAAACTTTTATCTGATGTTTACCAGTACACAAAAAACAGAAACTGAAACAGCAGCAGTAGCAGAAAAACTATATCCAACAGAGATCGTCGCTTTTTGTGTACAATTTTCAGTCCGTTTGTGTAATATTCGAGTGCTGGCTTCAATGGGGTTCCGCACGATCAACTGGCGAGTGTTCAGCTCAGCTCAGCCCAGCTCAGTTTAATTTTACTCCACGTACCGACAGCGCGACGACGGGTTTATCGCTGGACACTTGTGGTTCGAGCTGCAACTGCGATTGCGATGCCGACCGCCGAGCAACCTGACCGCTCGACAAACTCAACCAAACTGCGCTCCAGAGTTGGCCGCGAGCGGCTCTTAACTCGCTTTTCCCAGCCCGCACGAAAAAAGTTTAGTTGGCAACAGGTAGACGGGTCGACGTGAGCGGATCACTGAAAACAATGGGTGAGTGTAGTGGCACAGCCAGAGGTGTAGGTGGGGTCCTAACTTTTAGTTTTATTTCTTGCCAGTTAAGATGGATTTTAGCGCCAAATAAAAATTTATATACTTCCTTTCATCAATAAATATTTTTTAAAAGTTTGGTAGTAAGTTATTTGTTAGGCTAATCCTATAATAATGTTGTTTACCTTAAGTTCCCCCTTCTTATCTACGCTCCTGAATCTTCGAAAATCTGTAGCCTCTCTTTTTTGGTACTCTCTTTTCAGAGAGTCGGCTTTCAAGAGGGCAATCAGCTGTTTTCGATTTGGCTTAAAGCCAGAGATCAGCGCAGCCAAAGGGAGTTATTGAAGCAAACTGAGCGGGATGCTTTAAGAGAATTTCTGGCATAGCTGCGATGGGGAAGTATAGAATTTTTCAATATAACATGTTTCACTATATATTATAATGACCATTAAATTTGGCATTTGTTAATAATTAAATGGATCTAATCAATTCAACGCTTCAGTTCGGGGGAGTAGACTATATCGATCTGTCTGGTAACGCTTCTCTTTAATAAATCTAAGGCCGAGGCATACTTTTAGGCCTTTCTCAAAATGAAAGGCACTATTAGCTTACAAAAACATACTTTAATAAATTACCTACTGCACTAAAAAACATATACAATTCCAACAGCTAGGCCTAATACTTAATGTGGTTCCTTTCAGAGGGCTTCTCAGGACGTCTTGCTTTGTAGCGCAGTCCATGTTCCATATAGGTGAAGGGGGGATTCGGTTGGGTCATGCAGAAGTATAGACCCTTGGCAGTAGCTGGGTAAATGAGTCCAATGTTGAGCGTGTTCTGGAAATTACAGTCGCCGTGTCGGAACTTGGCCCAGCTCTCGCACTTGGTAGCTGGGATCATCACACCCTCGATGAGAGCCTATAAATTTACAGCGAAATTGAATTAAAATGCTTCAGTTAGCTGCAGAAGTCTCACCTCCATGAACAGAATAAATGGGTACATGTGACTGCAGATTTTGGACTCGCAGCCAGGTTGCAGCTTCCTTCTCGGGAAGTAGCCAATGCCATTGGGGTAGATATCGATGTGACCCAGCGGCACCCTCACGCCAAAAACATCCCCCTCGCCGTGCAGCACCACCACTCGTGAGGCCACACTTTGTTTTACCAAAATATCGGTGGTGCGGCACATGGTGGCTGGGTCGATGGCCAACAGTTGGCCCACCAGTTGCTTGTTTTCTTTGGCAAAAAGTTGGGCGCCCAGTGCGGCTATATTGGCACCCACCGAGTGGCCGGCCAAAGTGATGTCCTGCACGGCAATGCCCGCATCCTTGAGAGCTCTCACCAGCTTGTAAACGAAGTATCCGTTGACGGAGAGATGATGACGCACTGCATAGTACAATTGAGCCACATCCTGCGCGAAATCCACCACTATTACATTGAGATCCCTCCTGCTGTTCTGCAGCAGATTCAAGTGCTCCTGCACACTAAAATAGCTGTCGGCCGTGTGGAAGGCATTGACGTAGATGAGGGTCTTACGCTCCGGATTGATGTCGAAATCCTTGATTTCCGATATGGACTTGATGGGCAGCTCTACGCTTTGGTTGGTAATGGTCATCACATGGAGTCGGGCATCGCTGGGACTGATGCCCTGAAATAGGGACATCACACCCTCATCCACGGGTGCATCGCCTGGACGAGATTTCATTTTTATAAGTTCATCATGCTTACATGGTATTCTAAACTTACAGAACGCTCGCCAGCCTCGATTTAGCTGCTCGCTGAGTAGCTTGATATTATGCTTTTGGACACTGTTTATATTTAAAGGCTGAGTAGCCTTATCCTTAGACTTATCCGCCATTGCCCAAGATTGGCAGATCAGGCAGACCGCTATGATCATCTGGGCTGTGCTCTTCTGCATGGTGAATTGGGCTCTCATGTCTGAACCCGAAAAGCGGAGCTCTTTTATAGCCAGGTCTTATCGGGCCAAAAGACTCGTGCACTGAGACTCTCTTATCTGGTAGTTGGCTTTCGATTTCGGTTTATTGTATAAGCTTGGTGCAGCACGTTTCTCAAAGGTGCCACTGTCTGGTCGTTGTCTACGGTTCCGCGCCAAAATCTGCAGCCCCAAAGAGCTCCAGATAAGGCCGCGAATCTGGCTAGACTTTACTGATTGACTATCATCCCCAGGCCGATCGTGCCTCAATATGAAAATTCTTACCACAAGATCCCTTGCAGCACTTCATTCACTTCTTTTTTCCGTCAATTGATAAGGCTCATAATTTCTAGTTTTTGATGGGTGCTCGAAATCAACTAGGTGCTGAATCTTTATTCATTACATATATATTTTGACTAAATGGGCTTTGCTTAGTTTGCCTATTTTTCGAGTATAGTTAGTAGGGCTGTAAATTTGACTAGAAATCGTCTTGATGGACAAGCGATTCTCAATTCAAAATTTACGCTAATGAGGTAGCGGCGGTTGTTGTCTGACTCTGATTGCTTTCCCAACGGAAGTTCTCTAGAGTGGCCTTAAAATTAGGTTCCTTAGGTGGTAAAGTGTGTATGTGGAGCTTTGCTGATCCAGACCACATAATCATAAAGAAATAAGCATTGAATCCGGAGATGGAGCGAAACCAAATAAACCAAATAACAAGAGCATTGCTGGTTAAACTTAAATTTTAAACAGTTTATTCGTGTGGGCACGCAAGAACTAATTCATAAAAATAATAAATAAATTGAGAGGTGTACTAAAAATAAACATTGGTAGTCAGAAATACTTAATGCTACGATCCGTGGCATCTATTCACTGGATTCTGCTCCCCTGCCGCTTCAAATGGACTGAAATTAGCATTCCGCTCTGTGTGTGTATTTTTATTTTGTAGGTTTGGGGATGCATCTGTTAGTTGGATGATTTGATTTAGAACTTCAGACCAGCCTGGACATCGGACATGATATTGGCAGACTTCTGCAGCTGCTCAATTTCAGTGGGAGTCAAGATCTGCTTGACCACGGATGTCACACCGTTGGCATTCAGAATGCAGGGCAGCGAGAGGAACACATCCTTGTCAATGCCATGTTCGCCCTATAGCATGCATAAGATGAAATGTAATATATTAGAAAATGCTTGACCAGGTGGAATTTTGATGAGAAAACTTACCAAAACGGAGGTGGAAACGGCGGCCACGCTGCTAGTGTTGCGCAAGATGGCCGAGGCCAAGGAGGCGGTGCTCAGACCAATGGCCCACGAGGTGTATCCCTTTAGCTTGATCACCTCGTAGGCGGAGTCCACCACCTGCTTGTGCAGCTCGTTCCACTTCTCTGGATCCTCGCCGGTGCCCAGGATTGGGTTCAGCTCACGCAAGCGCACGCCGGCAATGTTCACTCCAGACCAAACGGGCACGGAGCTGTCGCCGTGCTCGCCGATGATCCAGCCGTGGCAGGAGGTGGGTGCCACGCCCAGGCGCTGCGACATCAGGAAGCGGAAGCGGGACGAGTCCAGGTTGGTGCCACTACCGATCACACGGTTCTTGGGCAGGCCGGACAGCTTCCAGGCCACGTAGGTCATGATGTCCACGGGATTGGACACCATCAGCAAGATGGTATCGGGACTGTACTGTAAGTGGAAATGGGAATGGAAATGGAAATGGGTTATTGATCTGAGTCTCTGTTTCAGTCTCTTGATTGTGTTGGAGAACCTACCTCCACCAGCTTGGGGATGATGTTCTTCAGAATGTCGGTGTTGCGCTGCACGAGGGACAGACGGGATTCGCCCTCCTTCTGGCGCACACCGGCGGTCACGATGCACAGACGGGAGTTGGCCGAGGCGGCGAAGTCGGTGCTGGCCGTGATTTGGGGGTTCTTCAGGAAGTTGGAGCCGTGCTGCAGATCCATCAGCTCGCCCTGCAGCTTGTCGGCGCAGACATCGATGAGGCACACCTCCTTGGAGACGTTCTGTGCCAGGATGCTGAAGGCGCTGGCCATGCCCACCTGGCCGATGCCCACAATGGTCACCTTGTGCCCGGAGCTGGGCAGGACCTCAGCAACCTGAGCCAACAGACTGTCCTTAATGGCGGCCATTGCTGTGGGGGAAAACCAAAGAACAGATATTTCTTTAATACTCCGCCAAGGAAATCAAAGCACACTTCCCCTGGGAGATTACCCATTTCGATTGCTATCACGTGCCTATGATTTGGTTAAAACATTCACAATTTTTGGGGAAAACTCTTTTCCCCAAACACAGACACACACATACTGCTTAGTTGGCGTTCTTTAACCTTCACGAAGGTCGTATTAATGAGAAAAAAGCGACATCGCCACAACACGCAACCGGACCGAACCGAAAACATAGCCGAAAAAATTAACTTGGGATTTTTTTTTGCTCTTTTATATAGCAATTCACAGAGCCACATGACACGGCCAGTCAATTAGGGTCTTCTTCATTCACATAGATAAAATGTAATTAGGCCCGAATGGACGTTTTATCAATGAAAAAGTGTGAAACCTTATAGAATTAATCCACTGCTTCAGTTCTAATCGTTTTATTTCTGATTTGGCAACAGTCATAGTGACTTCCGCGAAGGCTGGCAGCTTTTTATCTTATCACGAGTTTCAAGCAATTATTGCAATTTGATTAATCCAATTATGGCATAGTTATGATGATTAATAAATAAATTTAATAAACAACACAATGACGTGAACGAGGCTTATCGCACATAGGAAGAGTTTTGGTGGGCCAAAGTTGAGTTTGTTGCCACTGTTTGCATTTCTGTTTCAGAT